TCAAGCCCCAAGCTGCTTACCTCCTCCCACTGAGCAAAGTCTGGAGGAATTACACTGGCAGTGAATGGCCACAATATTTCCAGAAGCATTGACAATGCTGGATTGTGTTCTCTGGCTCATTTCCTCCTGCTAACCAGTCTCTCTGAGGTGAACTGAACAGAGAAAAACTGTTGTTTTTCTTGTAATTTCTCTTGTAATTTTCTTTTATTCTTTCTACCAGGTTACACACCTGATGCTTTAAATGCACTGAATGCTGTGATTTCTAGGTGTATGCCTAGAAATAATTTGTGATGCCCTGTGACCCGTCCTTTCCCAAGGGAAGCTGCAGCCAGGAATGCTGCAGGAGAGCTGAGGCTGCCAGGCACTTCCAGCAGTACAGAGGGATGCCAAGAGAGCTGGAAAGCAGGGAGTGTGCCAACCACAAAATTAATCTCTGAGTTAATAAAAGCCCGCATGGTTTGAGGTTTGTGAAGCAATAAACGAGTTCAAATTTGCCAGCGACTGAAAAAAAAAAGCAATTAGGTGTTAAGAGAAACCTTCTAATGGGGATAAAGATAATACATTAGAATATGCAATGGGTTGAAAAATGTGATGAGAAATTAATCTTTAATTGAAAATTACTAAAGGAATTTAGATGAAGAACACAGAAATGTATGTATCAAAGCAAACCTTTTAACTCCTTTTAGTAATAGGGAATGACAGAATAAGAGCTTCTGTTTAATAGCACTAATAACTTCATAATATTTTTCCTCTGAGTCATATGATAGGCTCTTTTTACCAGTCGGTACTTCATCCAAAAAAAAAAAAATCTCCTTGGCTTCTCCTCATCATAGTAATTTCTAGGTCTGTGTGACCTAGAAAGCTCTTTCTGCTTATGTGTTTTGACTCTGTTTTCCAACACACAAGCAGAAAGGGTACCCATTTCAATCTCCCAGCATTCCTAAAACTCTACTGGGGACACTGCTAGCAAGTCTGCAAGGCTAAAAGGAGTAATGAGCAAAAGTGAGCCTGAGGAAATATCTCAATGTGATCCAAATGGAAACYGGGGGAGTTCTTCATCAGTGTGTTGTTAGGAGACTCAAACAGTCACAATTCCAATGGCATCAAAGGAGGCTTTTCTGGTTTTAAAACAAAACATCATGCTCAAAAGGGAGCAATAGGCAGCAATACAGGCATTTATAGATAGGAATTTGGCAAGCTGATAGCAATTAGTAGTTTAGCAGTTTGCAAAAGGAGTAACTAGCTAGGGAAATTCAGTGAATATAGAATGGCCAGTACTATTTATCACCACCCAGTGGCTTCTCCTTGAGGCACAAAGAAAATCCTAGAAGTGATTGAGGTTGGATGTTGGATAGCAACAATTACAATTCAATTAAAAAAAAAAAAACAAAACAAAAAAAACCCCAGAAATTATTCAGTATTTTTTTCCTGTTCTTCGTTTGGAAAATGGACTGAATGATGTCCCCATATTTAATTGGAGGTATTTTTGTCTTTCACAAATGACCAGGGTGAATGAAAACTACTTGTTAACACCCATCTATAAAACTTCAATGCAGAAGAATTTTAAGAATTGCCTGAGAAGGTGACCAARCCCTTAGTACTGATTTCTTGGCAAATACTGTATCACTGAATTTCCAGAGAATCAGGGGAAGTAACTGTTGAGTCATTACACGAAACCCAGTAACTGGTGTGTCCCAGGTAAGCRGAGCTAGAAGCTTGGCCAGGCTGACACCAGCCTTTGGCAAGAGCAGTGAGGKGGTCAATGAAGTGTGCAGTCAACAGAGAATTGAACTGTGGCAGTACTAGAGTTAGCACATTAACAGAAAATAGATGGGTTTAGTATTTTTTTGGAGTAGAGCAAGGCGACCATCTGACTGAGTCAGAGCAGCTCAGTAATATGCCTGATGTGTGGGTGGCTGCCAAAAGGGGCAGTTTTGTTTCTCATTTTCTTTTCCTCTCATTCCCTTAAAGAGTTCACATGAGTGAACCAGCTCAACTCACTGGGCCAACAGAAAACTATGTATTTTCTTTCTATTACTGTCAGAATTTCCTGCTGGAGCYCCGTGCTGGGCTGACTAACCCAGGCTGTGGGGTCACTGGAGCTGTCACAGGATGTGATGTTCTGCCAGATGGAGGTAACTCCTGTTCAGTCTCTGTTGGGGTTGCATGCAATGAGATGCAACAGTCAATGGTTCTCTTCATCGTGGAGAACTACTACTGGAAAATACAGTATGATGTGAAAACAAATATACATCCTATTGTGGTTTACCAATCCACTGAATGATTTACAGTGCTCTTCAAAATTCAGCAGACAGAAGCAGGGWTGGGTTATTAAAAGCAGGTGTAGATAACCATAAGAAAGACCCCTTGGCACTTCTGTCAGGCTGAGGGGAAGGGAAGCTGAGTGACCCATGGGGGATGGGGTTGTGTCCCACATTTGAGCTGGGGTCTGYGATGGAGCCCCTTGGCTGCTGGTGCCTCTGTAGTGTTGTCCCATGGAACTCATCCCTTACAGGGATTTGCCTGAGGGTATTCCCCAGCCTCTCTCACTACATAAGGTACCAAGTGGTCACATTTATTTCCAAAGAGCCTGCTCCTCTGGTGTCTCAGCTGCCTGACAATCCCACCATGGTGTTTGCCTGTGCTGAATGGAGCCAGATTCTCCAACAGCAACCGTAAAGGTCTTGGCCCCGTGTTGCTCCCCATCCCACAGCAATGGAGGACTGGAGGTAATGCTGGAGAGCAACAAGCAGAGCTGGACTCCATGGAGATGTCTACCCTGAAGTTTTTAGGGGCAACCACAAGCCCCCAGTGCCTGGAAGACACACCACGGTGGACACACATGGCCTGGGGGACCCCTGGAAGGCTCTGCTCCCACCCTGTGGTGAGGCCGTGCAGCCCAAAACCCACTGCCATCCCCGTCCAAGGGGATGCCTTGTCCTGGTGCACAGAGCCCGGCACAGCCATGTCCCACACAGCCATGTCCCACACAGCAATGACCCCCACACTCATGTCCCCCACACAGCCATGTCCCACACA